TATATATATATATATATACAAAGATTGATTTAGATAATACAGTTAATGTATACTACCCATTGTAAGGACAGACTAGAGGGGCACAGGGCAGGATTTAGGGCAAGACTTAGGTGGCTGACAGTTGTAAATTTACTCCATGCTTATTTCCATTATGTACGTGAGGATGCTATCTTTTGTGAAATTATTGCAGGATGTACTAAGGAACGTTCTGTCCCCTGATATTTTTCTTAACTCAGAAACAATTGCTAAGACCTTGATTGGCCTAGATTACACCAATCAGCGAAAGAGTCATTGTTAGAAATCCGCTTATCCCTATAAGTATAAGTACACTGGCTCTCTGACCTTCCACACCTGCTCAGGTTTCCCTGCTTTGCAGTGTGCTCTGCTGTAAGGCAGGTATTCTTTTCTTTTCTTTCTTTCTTTTTTTTTTCTTCATTCACCATAAACTTTGGCTTAGGCATCTTTTTAATTCTGACTTTCTAATTTTGCTCTTGGGGCTTGGCTTTGAGCCATTATTTCTGTGAGTGAGGGTGAGTGACCTGGAGAAACATAAGGTCTGTGATGGTGGTAGTGGTGGTGCGGGGGGAGCTATGCTCTCAAGGACTCCCTGCAAAACAACACTGTGTTCAAACATTCAAATATACACTAACTCCTCCCCTTCCATTGAAGAATTTCCTTACATAAAGATAAGACAAGCTCGTTTTCAAATAAATATTGTTAAATAATTAAAACTTTTAAGGAAGTTAGATACTGGAAAAGAGTTTATGGTTATCTCAGAAAGAAGATAATAATCCATAGCAGGCTGCCATGGACTGTCACTCCCACACCACCCCTTCATCTCACCTTGTCCCAACTAGAGCAGCGGTGATCGCCCCGGTGGTCTCTGATTCGCCTGACTTAAGCCTATTCATTTCTGCACAAATGGACCTTAAGAAGATCATCTCAGTAGTTCTCAGAGTAAAACGAGCATCACTGGATCTATCTAAGTGCCTCTGCAGGCTGGGGACAGTACTTTCCAGTCACTCTTCAGCTTTAGGGGGTTGGTCGTTTCCAGGGACAGCTGACAGCCTTAGCCAACCAGCTGCTCTGTGATACACGGTGTCCCTAACGCTTGGAAGTCTGGTGGATGATTCTTTTGTACCACCCTAAGCAGCAGATGGAGAATTGATCCGATCCTCTGACAGACTCAGGGTGTCAGAGCTGCCATTCAAACTGTCACCACTAGTTATCAACCACTGCTTTTGTGAGATGTCTGCTAGGCTATTTTTCTTTCCTTTCACAATCACTTAAAAAAAACAATCAAGTTTCATTAGAGCAACTTGCCCCAAGTCACATTAATAGATTTACTACACCTCTTCTGTTTGCTCAATTTAATGGAAAATCTTGGTGAAGGGAATACTTCATAGAGTACAGTAAATCACTTCAGGGTCATAGAGAGCACTAGTTCTATTTTCTGAATTTCATTCCTGTGGTGATAAATGCTAGGGAGAAGATGCCCAGGGTAGAGGGTCTGGAGAGTGGGATATTGTGGTGGGAAACTGCTGTCTTTTTCAGCAGGTGAGAAAAACAACCAAGGGAGTGGACAGTACGCGCTCCATTACAGCAGCCTCCAGAGCCCGACACTCTGACAAGGGAGTTCATCACTCGGGATAAATGCTAAAGGTAGCGTTAAAAGGGCTTCTGCTTTGAGACGAATGATACGGCCTGTGTGATTCAGCGATATATTCAGAGGCCTTGTCCACAGCGTAGCTTGGTGCCACATTCTGAACCCCATTTTGCAAACACGATAAAGCCAAACTGCGCAGAGAAGTGCACACGACGGAGTCACAAACCGCGCTCAGGGACACCGCTGGCCGGCTCGGGCGGCTGTTTGCGGTCTCCGCGTTCGCCCCACCATGAACGTTCACCAGCACAACTGGGACTTACTTGATAAAAACACCGAAGTGAGAGGGAAGAGACCCGCGTCTGAAACAAAGAAGGCAGCCGCGAGCGAGCGAGCGGCAGGGCGGGGAG